TAGAATTTTCTCTAGTTTGTATTTTGTAACAAATTTATGCAATCAGTTAAAAAAAAACGAATCTTGTTTTCAAGTAACTTGTTCTTTGAGGGTTCTTTAACTTTGTCATAAGGAAGACATTAAGAGTCTTATGAAAAATGAAAACAGTAACTAAAAATCACAAGCATCTAAGAATAAAAAAAAAAATTTAAAAAAAAAACACAGCAAAAATATTTTCCTTTTACAATATCAGCCAAGACCACTATCTTAAGTACAAATTTTTACATTTAGGTGTATCATTATGAATATGAGAACTTTTACTGGATCTTTCGGAGCCGTATCTTCTGATTCATATTTGGCCCCATTTTTATGTAATCGTTATGCAGATCATATTCCATGTGATTAAAAATTAGGAAACATAAAATAGTGAACAAACTCTTTATCTTAAGAAAAAAGCCTATTAAATAAAACAGTGAAAACTTGTATTTAAGAGGGAAAAACAAACACACTTATGTGAGTTAAAAAAAAAATTCTGTAGAAGCTTAAGGATTGCCTTGGTGCCTTCCCCTGTCAACATTGAAAGATTGCCTTGGGACTACTGGGTGGGTGCATTCGAACTTCGCTCTTATCCTAATACCCCATTTGGTTTATTAATTTTTTTAAGTTCAACTTCCCACAAATAACACATGTTCCTAACAACTAATCACTTCCCTAAAGACCCAAAACTGTATCACAGATCACACATAAAAGCAAGTAATAAAGTGTTAGTACAGAGTGTGCGATGCACAGCGGAATGAAACGAATCAATCTTCTTTAGAAAATTCCCGAGTCATTCATACCACCTTGTTCCTAAACTGGAGAGGAAAGTTTGTTCTTAATTACTGAACGTTTTCCTGAATTTTTTTTCTTCTCTCTTATTTAAATAAGCCTGTTTTTCTTTAGAGAAATGGATTGATGGGTTCATTAGTAAAGTAGTTCTTTTTGGGGAAATCTTTGAAATAGGCATTTTCCTATTCATATCTCACCCTTTTCAGTTGATTTCCTTCCCCTTGTTTTTAACCATATTTGTATTGAAACATGATGTCATTTCATGTAATCCACTCCATCTTTCCCCTTCCCTTTTTTTTTTTTAAGGCTCATGTTAAACAAAACCTTTTCTAACTTTAACCTTTTTTACTCAGCCATGTTGTATAACCATACTTGTCACTGGTTTCCAAGTGTTTCTATGACATTAAAAGAAGGTGTTGCCGTTGCCACGTTCAGTTCACAATCTCCTTCATGTCGTATAGAGAGATTTGAACGTTTTCAGAAGAGCAAATCTTTGGCGGCAAAAATTATACTTCACTTCCCAGCGTCTAACAACCAGAGCTAACACATTGAGTTTCTTTATATATCCCTCATCTGTTATTTTTACAGTGTTGAGGAGAATCACAAGTCATTTCCATACAATTGGGTGTAACCATAGTGTCTCTCCCACCGTCTTGATGAACTTTTCACCGTAGTACTCCAAAGAGAAGGAGGTTAAATTGTGTTGACGTTTGCCCACTTCATCAGGGACGCTTTCCTCTCTGCTCTGGGAGGAGCGAATCTCTCCGCTTGTCAATTTTATGAAGCACTTGAGCTCTTCAAGGGTCAAGCTTACTCTTCCTTAATTCCAAATACCCATTATAGAGGATTTCCCTGAGTCTGGAAACCAAAAACCTGACAGAGTCATTGTAGATTAGAGCGGAGTTTCTATCTTTCCAGAGGTGTAAATCCCACAAGAGTTCATTCCTTATATTTTGCCTTCAGCATTGCTGGCCAGTACATAGTAGGTAGGGCCACCTTCTCAAGGGTAGACGGTGGGGGTAGCAGCACTGCCTCCTGTAGGTTAAGTCATGTGAAAGAAACCAAAATTCCCCTTCCGCCTG